GCAGACTCTCCATATCCTCCATGATTAGGGAAATTGCTTCTCGTAGAGAGTCACAATTGTTAATCCAGTGCTCCACGTATTTGTGTGTTGTTGCATGCTTGGCAATTACTTTGCTTTTATGAAATGGGATTCCTCTGGCAGAACTTTTTTCTGCTTTAACAAACATCTTCCTGGAAATAGTCTCTTACTCTTTTTTCCTGAGTGATTCAATGTCTGATTATTTGAGTTAAGGAAAATTCTCCATAATTGTGGGTTTTTTGCTTTCATTTTTCTTTTTTTGTACTGGGAATTGCCAGGAATTGAACTCAGGACCTTGCTCTTGCCAGGTAGATGCTGTGCTGCTGAGCTATATTACCGGCCCACCCATAATTGTGTTTTGAGACCTCTTGTGTTTGATTACATCCTTAATTCCATAAGTAATTCTCACTTCACTGGGCTTCTCATTGTCTGTTTCTCTGCTAACAATATGCCCTTCCTCTGTGGCATGTATTTGGTTAAGAATCTAAGATTGGTAACAATCCACAAAGGATAATTGGGAATATCAATAGACTTTTTGAAAAACTTGAGATCTTCCCAAATGGGTTCATCTAAAACCTGTCCTTTCCTTTATTAAATAACTTTCTTGCACCATTTGATGATTCCCTCCCCTTTTCACCAACTTTCAGCACCTTTGAATTCTTTGATCTGTCCCTCAGTATCTGTACGTGTTCCACACTTTATTCCTGTCTTACCTAGCCTCCTAATGTCACGAGGTAGTTAATCCTCCTCTCCATGTTCGACCCCCCTGAGAGGATGAGAGGCCTTAAATGCAATTAGTTGATGTGAAAAGTTAATTTAAATTGACTGGATAATTTATCCACACATATGGGGTTTGATGACACCCAGACATCTACTTGGTCTTTCCTCTTTTTATTACCCAAACTTTCTTTTGCCCCACCTTTCAGATTACATATCGGGACAAACTGTATTAGCCTCCTCACAAATACCGATGTGAACCCTTTAGCCTTCAGAGTTAGCAGGTAACCTCAATTTGTCCCATCTGTAATAACTATAATCTCGGTAAGATATAAAATGAAGGGCACAATGGCAGTAAGAATCTATTTTATAAGTGGTCTTATGTAAAAGAACACTTTTATATATTGTATTTATTGGTTTATGCCTGATTCATAGCTTAAGTTTTAGAATTAAAGCTAAAAAATATATATATGTTTTTATATACAATATATGATGTTTTATATATATATATATACACACACACACACATATATATATAACATCATATATATCACGTTTGGGAAATATCTTCCCAGCTTCAGACAGTGTAATAAAATGAACTTACAAAATCACTTATAGAACCTGTATTCTAAATTTCTTAAAGATAAATCTTATGTAAATTAAATACTCCTAAATTCATAGAAATTATTTAAACTAAACTAATATTTCCCATGTAAAAAATATTTTCACATACAATAATTGAGATATTTTAAGAATTGAAGTTCACATAGTATTTCAATCATTTGCAAATCAGACTAGTTTGATATTACTGGTTTAACAAAGAAATTATGGCTTTTGAATTATCAAAATTAATTATAATTCAAGCATATATTTTATGTTTTGATATGTTCTTCCTGAACTTAATCAAATCTACTGCTCAAATAACTTAGATACTGTACTTATGATTAAGAAAAATATAAATTTGTCTTTAAGCAAATTGAATCACATCAAGAGTAATTGTGGTTAATATGTCAGCTTCAAAATAGTTTTCTAAGATCTATGTAGTAGTTTAAAATTTTAGATTTATTCTCATTTACAGTAAAAATATTTATTAAATATATACATCTTGTCTAAATAAGAAAAAATCTTGAAATCCTAATCACTCAGAATGTTTGTTTATATTCTTTTTCTTATTTTGCATGTTACAGAGAAGCCATATATTTAGGTCAATTAATGAATGTGCTATTTTTTCCCACGGTGAAAAAATAGTACATATTATATGAAACACATGCCTTGTTAGGCTTAGATCTAAAATATCCCCCAAAAGTCTCATGTTCAGAGCCGGGGCTTATGGAACATGATTAGATCATGAAGGAGTACTAGACTCATCAGCGAATCCATCCATTGATAAGTACAGGTGAATGTGCTGTCAGGTGGTGGGACATGCTTCGCGTTGGGTCACAGGGTTGTGGCCCGGAAAGGTATAGTGTGTTTTTGTCCTCAGCTTCTTTCTCTCTCTGCTTCCTAACCACCGTGACATGAATAGCATTCCTCTACCAGGCTCTTTCACAGTGTGATTTCTATCCCAGAGCCAGCTGACGATACAGTGAAGCTCTGAGTCAAAATAAGTCACTTCTCTTTGCCCAGCAAAGGGAAAGATAATGCATAAATTCCTATAATTGCAGCACTCCCAATTCGCAACCTATGATTCCTAGAGGTGGTCTCTTCCAGATCCTATGCTTCCAATGGCATGGATACCACAGCCAGAAGCTCAGATGATCTGTACATGCCGTGGATGACCTAGAGAACATCTCTTCTAAAACCTACATACTTTGTATCACAAATGCTACTGCAAATTCCTGGTACTATGTATGCTTGTCCCCTGGGAAATATGAAAGTACAACCTATGTCCTATAGGACTACCTCTATAAGCCCTAGAACCAGTTCAATTACAACCATATAACCTAGGTAGGTTTGCTTTGTGGTTCAAACCTCAAATTGATGGTTACCAGTGCCATAGACACCAACACTACCTGTGCTCATGCAGCAAGACTTAGGGAAAACCCCAACTCATACTGTATAACCACAATTGTGTCTGCCAGTACCACAGGCTCAGGTACTTCAAGCCTTTTTTCCTGAGAGCCCCAGGATAGGTTTCTTTCACCTCTTATGGCTCAGGAACTATAACTTATGGTGCCACAATTCTTTTTTTTTTTTTTTTTTTTTTTTTTCTCCGGTACCGGGAACCGAACTCACAACCTTGCACTTGCCAGGCAGGAGCTTTGCCGCTGAGCTAAATCCCCAGCCCCTATGTGCCACAATTCTTAATGTCACCTGTGCTTATCTTGAGGAACCCAGGGACAATGTTCCCCACATTCCAAACCATTGAGACTATAGAAGCTGCTGCCACAAGACAATGTGCAATACACAATCAATTCTGTGCAACCCAAAGACAAACACCTTTGGGACCCTAGATCCACTGAATAGTTGTAAAACTGCCTTCATGAACTTCCACAGTTTAAATTATTAGAACACTTGTAGACACTGCTGGCATCAAGCATAGAGGGAGGCATCATACAGAGATTCTGCATTTGAGCTCGCCTACAACAAAACATAAAAAATACCAAAGAGATATACTATATTCCACTTAAAGGCAAAATAAGTTAAAATAAAAGCTATTTCATAAAATCTGAAGAAACAAATATTAATACTACAAGGACAAACACCAAGAGAAGGACACAAGAAACAAAGGACATATGAGACCTTCAAAGAAGAATAAATCTCCAAAAAAAATCTCAGTTCAAACAAAGTCTGTAAATGTCTAAAAAAGAATATAAAATAATTATCTTTAAATGTCAGCAAGATCCAGGAGAACAAAGATAAATGGTACAAAGAAATGACAAAGATAACTCAGGATATGAAGGAGAAATGCATGAAAGAAAGAAATTATAAAAAAATAACCATTTAGAAAGCTTGTAGCTAAAATTACTGTAATAAAAGATAGAATTGAGATCTAAAACAGGCTAGAACAGGAAAATTGTATAATTTTGGACCTTGAGGGCAAGCTTTTTGAGTCAACCCAGTCAGACCAAAACAAAAGAAAACAAAACAAGGCAAGAAATTAGAAAAAGATTAAGGTATGGAAGTTCCAGAAGGTAAGGAAAGGGGAAGTCATTGAAAAATAATTTCACAATGTAATAGCTGAAAACTTGCTAAATGTTCAAAAAGTTATGAATATGTTGACCTAATGAGCTCAAATAACTCCCACATGGTTTCAATAAAAGCAGAGTTTCATCAAGCATATTATAGTGAAAATGTTAGAAATACCAGAAAAAAGAGAAAATTCTAAAAGAGCAAGAGAAAAGTATTAAATCATATATAAGAGAAAGGTCCATAGATTTAAACAGACTTAGGAGCAAAATTTTATATACTGGAAGAGAATGTAATGCTGTATTCACAATAATGAAAGAAAAAGGCCAAGGAAAATACTATAACTAATAAAATCATCTCTCAGAAATTAAGGAGTAATGAAGTATTTGCAAAAAAAGCAGCAAATGGGGTAGTCATCAATAGCAGATCAGCATGAGAAGAAATATTTTAAAGGAGTTCTACACAAAATAGCATACTAACTACTATGATGAATATACATATGTATATATATGTAGTATATATACAAGGCATATATATAGTTTACTGGAAGCACACAAGAGGTAAAAAGTCACACAAGAGGTAAAAATATAATCAAAACTTAAGATAACAGAAAGTCATAAAATTATAAACATAAAGAATGAAAAGTGTGAAAACATACACATATGCACAAAATACAACAAATAAAATGATAGGAGGGAGTTCATACTTATCAATAATAACTTTGAATGTAAATGGATCAAATTCAACAATTAAAAGACATAGACTGGCTAATTGTATAACTAAATCCAACAACAAAAACAAGCAAAAAAAACTAACTACATTCTCCCTACGAGAAACTTACATAACTGGTAAAGATCCACATGGACTGACATTAGAAATTTTAAAATAGATACAACATGGAAAAGACAACAAAAATAATATTCATGTCAAAAGCTATGAAAAGAAAAAATATTATATATTTTTAAGTATTTTCAATTCAGCAATAAAATTTAATAATTATAAACATAAATGCACCTAATATAGACTACCACAAATATATTAAGCAAATATTATTAAGGTTAAAGAGAGAATTTAACTGTCATGGAATTACAGTGGGGACTTCAGCAGCTCACTTTCTTCAATAGACAGATACTTACAGAACATTTCACCAACAGTAGCAGAGCACACCTTTCTCTCATCAGCATATCCAACATTCTCTGGAATAGAGCATATTTAAGTCGTTAATCAAGGCTCTATAAATTTTAAAAGTTGCGATCATATCATCTGTCTTCTCAGACCTCATGAAATAAAACTGTAAGTTCGCAAAAACAAAAAGTATGGAAAGTGTACAGGTACACTGAAATTGCTCCTAAATGATCAATGCCTAATGGAGCTAATTAAAAGGAAAATTTTTTAAAAATTCTACATTCAATGCAAATGATAATATGACATACCGAAATCTGAGGTATATAACAAAAGCAGTACTGAGAGGAAAGATTTTAGCCATAAATGTATACATAACAAAGAAAGATGCCAAGGAACATTCAACAGCTACAATAAATAAAATCAAAACTAAAATACTTATATAAACAAAGGGCTGTGAAATAATGACTTGATTCTTGAAAAGATAAATGAAATTGACAATAGTTTTCCTAGATGAATGAAAAAAAAAAGACAAAAGACAAAGTTAGGCCTGAAAAATCGGACATTACAACAGATAATGAAGAAATAAAGATAGTAAAATACTACTATGAGCAATTCTACATTAAAAACATGAACACTTACAAGAAATGGATACATTCCTGAGCATACACCATCCCAAATTGAATCAAAAAGGGAAAAACCTAAACTGGCCGATAAAAAGTGTAATGATCTTGAAAGGTAATTAAAGCTATCCCTCCTAGAAGCTGGCTGGGGATATAGTTCAATGAGCGCATGTCTAGCGTGCACAAAGACCTGGCTTCAATTTCAACACCAGAAAAACAAATAAAATATATCACAAAAAAACCCCAGAACTTATTGGCTTCACTGCTGTTTTCCACAATACATTTTAAAAACTAATTCCAATTCTTCCTAAACTATTTCATAAAATTGAGATGGAAGTAACTTTGCCAAAGTCCTTATGAGGTCAGAATTATCCAGATAACAAAAGCAGACAATGAAGTATGCAATTAAGCATACAAATGAAAAGAAAGATGAAGATAAGTACAGATCCATATCTGTGGTGAAAACACATGCTAAAATTCTCAATAAAATAATAGGGCCAGGGATGTAGCTCAATGGCACAAGTGCCTGCCTGGAAAGCACAAAGTCCTGAGTTCAATTCCTGATACTGACAAAAAAAAAAAGAAAAAAAATTAAAGCAAATTCATCAACGCATCAAAAAGTTCAAATGGTATGATAAGATGGAATTCATCTTAGGTTGAAGGAGCAATTAGCATACACAAATAAAAAATGCGATACAGTGAATTAACAAAATCAAAGACAAAACTTATTCAGCTTTTTCAATAAATGCAGAAAACCTCTTCAAGAAGATTCAACATTGTTTCATAATATAATCTTTCAAAAATTAGATATAGATGAACATAATTCAAAATACTAAAGGTTATGTGTAACAACCTGACCATCAGTATATTAAATAAAGAAATCTGACGGTTTTTTTCTCTAAGATTAGTTGCCCACTTTTACCACTTATTTAGTATAATATTGAACTTGAAGAGAATTAAGGTGGAAAAAGAAATAAAGGATATCAAAAATGGAAGTGAAAAAGTTATGTAATCCTTCTTTACAGATGACATGATTCTACACCTAGAAAATCCTAAATTCTCCATCAAATAATTGTTAGGGTTTTTAAATTAATTTGGTACAGTTATGGAAAGTAAATTCAATATATAAGAAACTGTAGCATTTTATACACCAAAGCATGAGCTTGCTGAAAATAAAATTAAGAAAGCAACTTGATTCATAATATCTATAAAAATTGTCAGAATAAATGTAACCAAGAAAATGAAAGACATCTACAATAAAACGTTAAATACTGAAGAAAGAAATTGTATAAAATCAAGACATTTCATATATGTATCAGAAGAATAATATTCTAAAAACAGCTGTACAACTCAAAGCAATCAGTACATTCAATGACAGTCCAATCAAAATGTCAATGAGTTCTCTGCAGAAATAAAAAATATGCTAAAATTCACATGGAATCACAAAAGAGAATAGCCAAAGCAATCCAGCTGACAAAATGACTTCAACATATGCTAGAAAATCACACCCATTAAAACAATATTGAAGTGGACTAAATACACACACTTATACCAGTGGGATAGAATATAAAACAAAGAAATTAAGTCCACGCTCACACAGCAAACTGAATTTTTACAAACTCACCAAGAGCATGTAGTAGAGAAAAGACAGTCTCTTCAATGAAATGTGCAGCAGAATTGTACAAGCATACGCAAAAGAATGAAACTCGATCCCGTCCTCTCATTGTACATGAAATCAACTCAAAATTGATCAAATATGTAAATGGTAAACACAAAATTATTAAATTACTGTAATAAAATGACAGAAATACTTCACAACATTGCTTCAACCTATGAAATTTTAGAATACAGTCAACCAAAGTAAAAATAGACAAATGGAATTGTAGCAAACCAAAGAGTTTACACAGAGCTAAGGAAATAAATACATGAGTTGAGAAACAACCTAAACATTGAGATAAAATATTTGCAAGCTGTTAATCCAGTAAGCGACTGACATCCAGAAAATATAGGTAACTTAAAAGCTGAACAACAAAGCCCCAAATATTCCAGTGAAAGGTGGTCTAAATGTTTAAACAGATACTTCTCAAAAGACTTAAAAGCGGCCAACATATGCATGCAAAAAGACTGTCTCGCTAATCATCAGAAAAATGAATATGAGAACCCATCATTTCACCCCAGTTCAAATAGCTATTACTAAAAAGGCAAAAGTCAAGTATAATATGCTGCAGAAGATGCACAAAAAATGACCCTTATATACTACTGGTGAGAATATAAATCAGTACAGCCATTATGAAAAACAGTATGGAAATTCCTCAAAAAGTAAAAATAGAGCTAGCCAAAATATGGAATCAACCCAGAAGCCTTTTAATGGATAAATGGATAAAGAAAATACAGTATTGTCTTAGTTACTTTTCTTGCTTCTGAGACAAAAATATCCAACACCCAAAGTTAGAGGGGAAAAGGTTTATATATCCCAGAGTTTGTAGTGTTTTCAGTGTAGAGTCGACTGGCTCCATGGCAGGGCAGCATGACAGAGGGCGGCATCACAGAGCAAAAATAGTCATGGTTAAGCAGAGCAGGCAGAAGGCAGCAAGAAGCAAGCAACAAGCAACAAGTGACCACAGCAGCTTCCTTCTCTTTCCTTTTATGTCCTTAGGGTGGGTAGCACTCATACCCAGAACTATGCCAAGGCAATCAGTGGACTACTCTAATAATCACACACACTTAATTCCAGCATCACATGCTCTAGATCCAGCAACGTCTTATAAAGTCCCACTTATGACCCCATGAGGCTTTGGGGGGACATTAAACACAAACCATATGAAGTATAACTTACACAATAGAATATTAACCTCCACACAAATGAAATCCTGTCATTTGCACCAAAATAGTTGGAGCTGGAGGTCGTTATGTTAAGCAAAATAAAGAAGCCAGAGAAAGACAAATACTACATGTGTCACTCATTTGTGGAAACCAGTAAGTCAACTGGATAGAAAATAGGTAAGGTGTAGTGGTTGCTAGAGGCTGGGGAGGGAAAAGAGAAAAAGGGCCCGAAAAAAATTCCACAAGGGCACCAAAATCACAGTACAGCATCAATATTCCTGGTTCTTTTTCAGCACAGTAGAGTACTTATTGGCTAAAATAATCTATGCTGTATTTCAAAATGAAAGAAATGAGTATGAAAAAATTGTATGCATATATTGAACTATATAATTTCCCGGTCTCCCTGGACTCAGAGATTCTAACCTGCTCTTCTCAGACACTGGAAAGTATCATAAGGGAATTATTAATTATACCATACTTGTCATTAGCAAATTGAGGCTGTTTTTCTTCCAGTTCTTCCATTCAAAACTTTAACAATCTAGACATTGGAGATGTGCTTTTCTGGAAGAAATTTCATCAGACTATTCTTGAACCAGGTTAAAGGGGCCCTTGCTTCAATCTTTTTACCACGAAAACTTTTGCCAGATTCCAAGGAGTCCAAACCTGGGTTCATGTCTCCCAACTCGAGGGATGCAAGAGACACTTGGATGATAAAAACATCCCAAAATGTTTGACTGCATATAAGTGTGCTAGCGTGTATAAGGCAGTAAGCAGATTAAAAGCCACTAGAAGAAGGAATATTATGACTATAGTAATCATTAATGCCTCCACTTTCTCTAAAAGTGACTGCAACCAAAACTCTCTCAAAAACCTCAAAAGACAGTGCTGTGAGGTGAACAGCATTCTCAAGGAGCCAAGTAGGTGACACCATAAGGAATCAGTTCCTTTCCAGGACACTGTGAGAGAAAGACCTATGGGTTTGCCTTGTCTTGAGTGTTACCCCTCTATTGTAGCTTTCATTTGTCTTTCTCTACTGTATCTTCTTTCTGTTCTCTCCCCTCTACGCTTATTTTTGCTAGCCAGATATTTCCTATGCTGTAAATACAGCCATAGATTTTCCAGTATTTTTTTTAAAATAGTTTGGGAAGTATACAATCACTTTGCCAAATAGTATGAGCCTTTCTCGCTCAAAATATTTCATTTCAATGAAACACGTAGCAGAACTTCTACAGGTTTCTTATAGCCACTCACATTATAGAAATGTGTTCAAGTAAAGCTATAATATTTGATAATATACATACGTTCAGATGTAGTGAAGTAGTATTGTCTTATACAGCTAATTCGACTCTCTAAATTGGCATACCACTCTGGAGAGCGATTTAGCAATCATTAGTTTAAATAGTTAAAATGTCTACACTGAACAACGCAAAATTTCATGCTTAAAGACAGCCTTCCACATAGGGTAAGGAAATACAGACAGAATTAATCATTTTAGAATTGTTTGCCATAATTAAAAAGTGGAAAAAGAGTGACTGCCACCAACATCAGGCCGGAAGAATAAATTATTGCATAATCATACAAAATAATACTATGCAGCTGTGAAAACAAATGCACTGCGATGCATTTCA